GTCTCCATGTAGTTAGCCGGCTCACATTTACTTATGTCATAAAATCATAATAGACCAGCTGAAATTATTTAAATAACAATAACATCATGTTGCTCATCCCTGTGTGATGGAACGTTGGGAGAATCTGCTTGATACATAAAGACAGCCAACATTTGGAGGAAATTGGAGGAAAAAAGGAGAGACCGAGCGGCAGAAGTTAAGCTCCCAGAGGCCTGCCTTGGGTCACTCTGCTGCACTGACTGGCTGGTCATTACTGGACCTCTCAGCAAAAATGAGTCAGTGAGTCTTTTTTTAGACCTGTATTCTATAGCGTGTGATTTTTATTTTTTTGAGATTGTCATACATGTATATGCTTTAGATGTGTCCCCTACATGTACCTTACTGCACATTTGCCCCTAAACTGCATAAACATCCAAATAAAACCTTCTCTTTATCACTTAAAACACTTCAGACAGTAACAGAAAGAGCACTGTAATAGCAGACCTCACTGAATTAATCATTGTTTTATGCTAATAGCCTTTGAATGAGGTTTCTCTCAGCTCGTCTCTACCTGCTGTTCCCTCTAATACTAAAGTAAGAGCCGCTGCATATGAATGAGTCTCTCTCTTCACCAGGGCTTTACTATATATATTATATAGTAAAAGCTACAAACTTCTCATTAATATGTGCCAGTTAGACAGCCTTGGGTAGTAGATACTGGAATTTATTAAGTTTAATATCTTTAATAGACTTTTATTGTAGTTCGCCATTAGCAGCAGCAAGACGTTTTTTTGGCTATGGGAAAAAATGTTGTTCTCCAAAATTACGCCATCATGCTCTGTGTTAACTTCTCCAAAGCATATACATTTTGTCCTACGCAGAGAACTGACAATGACTGTCAATTCTGAGATCATTAAGTAGTCAGTCAATATATGAATATTGGTACATACATGCTACATTCAATAGCATTTTAGTGGGCTAATAGTAGTAGTCTACAGTTTGAGTGGTCTTGCAGGGGCAGACGTGATGAGAATGCTCATCTAGAGACATCTTGTTAAACTTTTGGTGCTGGATTGCGGCAAAATCCGCCACAAAAAGAGTATGCCCCTTTTAAAGTCCACCCCCGTATTCCACTAGTCTGTGCCCCTGTAATGATGAGAGTACAGTCAATAATGCAAACAAAACCATAGACTCTGTCTTAGGCTAATAAACCTATTTTTCCATTGCAAAAGGTAATGTTTATTTTTACTGCATGTAATAGGATGTAATGATACTCTAAATTCAGTTTAAAATGATCCAACACAATTTGATACCATACAATAAATTACATTCAGTGTGATACAATACAGCACATTTTAATACATCACGAATAATGTGTGCCTGAGCATGTGCCTTATTCAAATGTTCATGCTTGCACCTGCTTACATGAATGCACAATAGGGACATAACAATGCACAGATTTTCAGGTTTGATGCAAATTTCAATTCGAAAGTCAGGTTTTTTAAAATATTGTGTGTTGCAAATATTACGAATGATTCCACAGAACTTTTTATGATTATTTGCTACACAGATTGGTTTGGCCAGATAATAAAGGTTCTCCAATAGAATGTTTTCAATGCCGGCTGCTCCACCATCTAACAAAATAAATCTGAAAAAAATCACTCCTACCATTTATAATTGATTAATAAAAAGCTCAGTCATTTGAGTGTGGATGCATGCTTAAAATAAGCCCCTCCCCTGCCCACTTTACTTGGATAGGATGCACCCAGACGCCTAGTTTTGATCATTGACAGTGAGTTCCTCAAAAGATGAGAAATGAGAGACCCTCTGAAGAAACTGAGGGGTGTATCAGCAGTGCAGTGTTACATTTCAATACACCGTTTCAAATTAGATTTTTTGATACATATTAAAATTGTTTCAGCCTCAGCATGTAAAATATTCCTTGCATGTGTGACGTATAACATGCTTAATTGGTAGTCTTTGTACTTTTCAGCTGTACTAACTTGTGTTAAATAAATGGGCTAATGACAGACTTGCTCTCTGACAGTGTTGATGAACACACCTTACTTGAAGCTCTGCTTTCCCAAGGTGTTGGATTGGTTTAGCAATTTCACACTCAGTTTTTCCCCACCCACGTTTAGCCCAAAATTTCACATGGTTGTCCCCAGATGATCTCGTTACTGGACCCACAAGACTACAGTTTGAGTAACTGGTGTTATATTATAGTGTTGAAGTAGTGTAGAATTATAGCAGTAGCTTTAATTTCAAGTAATATAGTAAAAATAATCAAATGTATGTGAAATTTAGCTTGCTACATATTATACATGTTTCAATTCCAGAGTCCTTATTTGCTCATGTCTCACCTCAGAGGTCTATTTGCTGTTCTGGACCCTGTATAGCAAGAAATTGTGTTAGCTGCTTTTTTTGTATGGTGAAGACATGTAATACAAATTTAGAGATAATGGATGTAAATGAATTCAGCTAGATTCATCGAGGGGAGAGAATATTAGCTGTTTAGCTGTTGTTCTCACAGCTGCTGTGCTATGTGCAAGACTAACCCTGGAATTAAAGGTCTGCCTCCTTTTGTGCTTCCATTCAACTAATGGCCATAACCCAAGGACACCCACCATACCGCGACAGAAACAGTAACACAGTACAGCTGTGAGATGGTAGCTAGTTGCAGGTGCCTGTGTGTGTGTCCTCTATGTTAAGTGTACACAGACCATGGTGAGCTGTATTGAATAAGACAGCAATCTCGTCGCTACTTCTAGCTGTTACCATTGGAGCTGGCAGCTCCTGTGCTGCCGTGCTTCTGACAGGCAAGCAGACATGTCAGTAAGTATCAGCTCCACCCTGGTGTCGCAGTCCTGCACCCAGGCATCTTCTCTCTCCTCTGCTCCTCCAGCCACCCGTGTGCCCCCAGGCTCCTCTCCAGCCTCTGACTGCGGCGCGGGCAAAAGCAGGTGTCACCGGCCGAGCTCTGAAAGACATGCTTAAGACAGTGAGAGGAAACCCGACAGTGACACTTCAAAAGAAGCTTTAAAGCATGAGTGCCTGCCATTGAGCAAACAATCAGCTAAATTACTGGTTTATTTATTCCCGTCAGCGTCTAACGATCTATTCTGCAATAACTGATGAAAGTGGATCTGGTACATCTGGTACGTCTGTGACTGAGGCATTCTGCTGCTTTTATTTAAAGTTGAAATCAAGGCACTTCTCTCTGAATAGAAGGCCGCTGGGTGCTGGTGTGTAATGGAGTTGTGATGTTTAATCAGCTTTGAGTGCGGAGGAAAAATGCCATGAAAGTGACCTTTCACTAGGGGAATATTTTGACTAGGGGGGCTGACTGTTTAGTCTAAGCAGAATAACTGTTGCGTTTTCCACGGTCAGGGATTTGATGAAGCGTAAAGGTCAGACGTAGTAAATTCATATATTTGCATGGGAATTCTGAGAGATCGTGAAGTTTTCTCTCTCTCTCTCTCTCTCTCTCTCTCTCTCTCTCTTTCTTTTTCTTTTTCTTTCTTTCCCTCTCTCTGGCTATGACTTTTGACCTCCTTAAAGGGGAATTCACCCAGTTTTTCAACATTTCTGCATAATTCAATCATTGAGGTATAAGCAAAGTAATTCAGAGTGGTTTGATGTAAAATGGTTCATTGTAGAGAAACTTACCAGCTCTGATTTCTTTAGAGTGGTGGTGATAGGAATCAGGGATCACAGTGTGTACAATGCAAATGTAGTCTTTTTATTTGCTATTTGTTTGTTATACAAAATTGTCTACACGTGTTTCTTGTGTTCTTATATGTAATGTTGATCATCTGGGCTGTTTTGTTGCACAACGCCCTCTAAGTACTTGGCCACAACTTTATCTCAAAATTGTCCTTGAACAGTGTTTAAGGCATCACACAACGTATGTAACCATTTCATGCAGTAACACTTGGTTTTGTTTACATGCGACGATTTTTGCCCATCCGATTGAATACATTCCGATTACAGATTTGGGGTGTTTATATGCTCACTCTACTTAACAATCTGATGGAACATCTCCGTTCAGTAATCAGATCCAAAATGACGCTTATTGGTAGAGAACCACTTAGTGTAAATGTTTCCATGACCATGAGCATTATGTGAGGTCCAGTCTGAGTGAGACGAGTTTTAATTGCTTGAAAATTATGGCAGAAAAAATGTACTTCACATGTATTAAGAAAGCGGCGAGAGGAAGACATCATGTTCTGAGACACATAAGCTGGACTTCAGTCCCACTGCTATCTTTGAAAGTGCAAAGCATAAACATCGTCTCCTCTGCAGATCAGTTTCTGCTCCCGCCATGCTGAACGTTCTAAACTTTTGCTATGATGGGAACACACATGCGCAGAACATACTTTCACATTCCGATTGGGAATGTAATGGGATACAAGCATTTACATGGCTATTACTCTTCTATTTAACAGATTGTTTACAGGATTACCTACCTGTTCAGTCGGATAGAAATTGTATTCCGAATGGCGTCAATCGGAATAGTCTTATACATGGACGTATTCTATTCCGATTGAGCTATTAGTCGGATTATTAACGGATTATTAGGCTATGTGTGAAACACTTTGGACATCTGGTTCCTATCACCACCACTGTGAACAATTCTGACTTGGTAAGTTTCTCTAGAACAGGGCATTTAAAAATTTTTAAATTGATGGAATTTCCTTTTAAATAAATAGAAAATAACTTTTTCTCTCTACTTTGTGTTGGATTGGCATGATTCCTATTTAAACACCTCTTTATAGAAGTGTTCCAGGGCAGGTGTAGTGTTCTGAGAGAAGACTAAGACCTGATAAAGTCAGTTGGACTTGCTGGTCTCACTGATTTGGAAGTGTGCCATGCTTCATCACTGAAATTTTCTATTAGGTGTGAACTGAATATTGTCCTTCCTTGTATTTCTTGCTTGTAACACTTAAAACATTGGTCTAGTGGGCTTATCCTCCAAGACTCTAAAACCTTTCCTTTTCTGCTTTATTTGGCTTCAACAGATTGCTTGCGGACCAGCGGCCACATACTCTCCTTTTCCTCCTGCCCACCCAAGGTGGCTGCATGCGAGTGCCACCCCACACTGCCAGCCTGACTGTACCCCTGGCTTTGTGACCTCTCTGAGAGCTTCCCCTCTGGACACTGCTACACTTCTGCTATTCGCCATCCCTGTCTGCTGGCTGCCCTCTTCCCTGCTGCTGTCCCTGTCCATGGCTGGCCTGCTAGGATCTGTGTTCCTCCTTGTCCTGCAGACATATGCTGCTCCTCCAGAGTTCATCCAGGTGTGGCCCAGTGCGTCCACCTCAGGACCTGGACTTCTTGCTAATGAGACAGTCACTCCCTCCCTGGTGCCTCCCCCAGGCACCAGCAAGCATCCCCCCCACAGCATCATTATTGGCGTCCGTAAAGGAGGCACCCGTGCTCTGCTGGAAATGCTGGACATTCATCCAGAAGTAGCGGCGGCAGCTACTGAGGTGCACTTCTTTGATTGGGATGAAAATTACTCCAAGGGCTTGGAGTGGTACCGTGAGCTAATGCCATATTCATACCCCCATCAGATCACCATAGAAAAGACACCAGGCTACTTCACCTCACCGTTAGCTCCAGCACGCATCCGTGCCATGAACTCCTCCATTAGACTTCTACTGATCCTGAGGGACCCGGCCGAAAGGGTCATCTCAGACTACACACAAGTCTATTTCAACCGGTTGGAGAACCACAAGCCTGTGCAGGCCATCGAGGACATGCTGGTCAGGAACGGAGCTCTAAACACACGCTACAAGGCCATTCAGCGCAGCCTCTACGACGTCCACATGAGGAACTGGCTCCTGCACTTCCCTCTGGAGCAGATCCACATTGTGGACGGGGACACGCTGATCCGTGACCCTTTGCCTGAGCTGCAGAAGGTGGAGCGCTTCCTGGAGCTGCCGCCCCGGATAGTGGCCTCAAACTTCTACTTCAACCAGACAAAGGGCTTCTACTGCATCCGCAGTGATGGCAGAGAGCGGTGCCTGCACGAGTCTAAAGGGCGCCCCCACCCACCCGTGAATAGCACTGTCCTCCAACAGCTCCGCTCCTACTTCCGCCAGCACAACCGCAACTTCTACCGGCTGGTTGGACGCACCTTTAACTGGCACTAGCTGACCCCACCTGGGCCGAGCTTCCTTCCTTTCCATCCGAGTCCAGTTAGAGGGCTTAATGACAGTGATATTGAGCAGGAGTGCAGATGGAAGCACTTTACATCACCCTCCTCCCCCAAAACTTCTCCTAAATGCCTTTGAACTCTTACAGAGTCTGTAGAATAATTTTGCAATCAGAAAATTGTAACAGTTAAGAAAATAATTATTGAGTAACAGCAGGAACGCCCTCAAGCATTGATCCTCCGTACTATAAGTAAGTCACTGGAGGAAGACTGAAGCAAACGGTTTTGTGAACTTATGAACTTCTCTTTTTTCTTTGTTTGTTTGATATTCTTGTACTTGATAATAAATGGTTGCTTTCAAACTGAGACATCAGATATCTGTTCTTCTCTCATTTTTTTCGCTCTGTCTACCTGCATTTACTCAGGCTTGTGCCAAGACGTTTGGAGTAGCCTTTGAGGACAATCAGAGGCAGGAGGTGAGAATTATGCAGGGAAGCAGGTAGCCTAGAGCAGTGCTTTGGAGGAGCAGGGACCCCTAATAGGCTGAGACGTGGAAGCCAGTGCCTGAAGCTTCAGAATGTGAATCATGAGAGTCAGCACAGCTGCGGTAGCTGCATGCATGCTCAGCAACACAACCTACCTCTGTTCAGCTCCTGTTACCGTACCACTTCAAACGGCTTCTTCTGAGCACTGACCTCAGGGGCTAAATGCCCATCTTTTTTAGCACTGAGATTTCTGACTGGAGCTTACAGCTCTCATTTACGTGTAGTTGTATGAAGAATGCTTATAACCGGATCAGTCAGTGTTACATCAATGTAGACGGTATGTGTGCAATAGCAAATAAATAAGCTCACATGCAGAAGCTGAATAAATTGCTATATATGAGAATGTCAGATGCACTGCCACTCAGAAGTTTAGAATCAATGTTTTCAATAGTGTAAAAGCTATTTGGTTGTAGATACAAATTTAACATTATTCTAATATAACATTAATCATAGGTTTCATTTTATTTCCATCCTAACAAAACCATCTACCTCCAAAATGGTCATTTTACAGGAGAGGGCAAAACATTCTTAACCTGTAATGTATGTTAATCTTAACGTATTCCAAGTCATTTTAGACACAATGTAAAGAACAGGACAAAATGACATACTTTCTTAGCCCTCTTTTACCCTGTTCTTCAGTGGTCAAGACCCCCATGGACCCTCACAGAGCAGGTACTATTTGGGTGGGGGATCATTCTCAGCACTGCAGTAACACTAATGTGGTGGTGGTGTGTTAGTGTGTGTTGTGCTGGTACAACTGGATCAGACACAGCAGTGCTGCTGAAGTTTTTAAACACTGTGTCCACTCACTGTCCACTCTATTAGACACTCCTACCTTGTCAGTCCACCTTGTAGATGTAAAGTCAGAGACGATAGCTCATCTACTGCTGCGCAGTTTGTGTTGGTCATCCTCTAGTCCTTAATCAGTGGTCACAGGACGCTGTTGGCTGGATATATTTGGTTGGTGGACTATTCTCAGTCCAGCAGTGACACTAAGGTGTTTAAAAACTCCAGCAGCACTGCTGTGTCTGATCCACTCAGACCAGCGCAACACACATGAACACACCACCACCACATCAGTGTTACTGCAATGCTGAGAATGATCCACCACCCAAATAGTACCCTTGTAGAACTACAAAGTGCACCTATATAGTAAGTGGAGACAATGGGCATAGAGCTCAAGCAAGCAGGTGATCATAATGTTATGCCTGATTGGTGTATGTGTAGGTGTTTTGTTGATATTGTTTCCATATATATTGTATAAGTTGTTCGTTTATTTACTGAATTATTTTGTCAGAACAAATGTAATTTACCCAATTTGCCACTTACCCCAGATATTATCAGTTAACCCAGATATGATGGAGTCTAAATTTGGCTTCTTTAGTTTAGAACTGGAGCTCTGAGGCTAACGTTGCTAACAAATGCTAGAAATAGCTCAGTTAGTTTCTGTAAAAATACACTCCTAAAACTTCTCTCAACTCACTAAAACTGCATGCAGAACTTCAATAAGGTCATGCAGGGTACAGTAAGACTTACTATGAACTCTAGATCAGCACTTCCACTCCTGACGAGGTTTGTGAATACAGTCCCTGTTGTCTGAAGTGGCTGTATGCAGTTGTGTTTAATGTTTCGCAGTCCCTGTGACCCAGAAGGATAAAGCGGCTTAGAAAATGTGTGTGTGTGTGTGTGTGTGTGTGTGTGTTTCACACTAAGTCATACTGTGTCCTAATCCACATCGACAAGTCTGTACAGTGTTAATGAAGAGCTGGATGCAGTTTGAGGGGGTTCAAAGATGTTTTGGTGTAATTTTTTTTTTTTTTACAAACGTTGGGCTATTTTGGTAACTTTTGACTTCTAGTATTTTGAAGCAAACTTAGCCTCACCCCTCCAGTTCAAAACTAAAGAAGCAAAGTTAGGACTCCAAACATGTCTCGGATGACCAACTACATCTGTAGTAAGTGGAAAATTGTGTACATTTGATATTTAGCAAGTCATTCTTTTAAATGACAAAAAATGTTAATATGATTTAATATGTATTCCAAGCTTTTGAATCAGAGTGTGTATCTTTTTACATCTTTGCTTCCCAAAACTACCGTGTTGCTTTTATAATGGGCACCTGCCTATCCTGCAAAATGTTGTGTTTAAACGTCTCATTGTCTTTAAAATTGATTAATTTGGTGGATGTTTAAAATAAGCTTGATATTTATTTTACATTTTTCACTGTTGTTAATTTGAGCCTGAGTACATTATTAGGGTCTATGCTACAGGAAACTACATCAGGGGATTTAAATAGTGAACTACGGGTTATGTTGAGCCCTGTATAACTCTATCCCTGTTTCCTCTTAGATCTGAAAAGCTAACGTACTGAAATAGTCATTTGTATCTACTAAATCACATAAGCAATGAAATTTGATAAGGTTGGGCTTTCTGCTTAGTCAAGCCCTCTTCTCTCCCACTACCGCATGATCACATTAGCTTATTTATTCATTTATTTATTGTTTTCAAAGAAACCATTTTTTGAAGTGTGGGATAGGGGAATGGGTGAAATATTGTTCAATTTTGAGTTTGTCAGATTGTTCTGTTTTGCTAATTAAAAAACATAATGGGAAATCTAGCCACCATGACTAAAGTGAGTGAAGAAAAGTTCTGCAGATAACACAGGTTAGCTCTTTGGGGTAGCAAATGTGAGTGAGTAGCAATGCACAAAAAACTTGTGTTTGGCTCGAATAATGCACAAGAACACATTTTCCAGCTTGTTCTGACTATTGACTTTTTTGTTTTCCTATTCATTTTTCAACAAGTGAACTGTCTCCTCCTTTATAACATCCCTGTTTCTTAAGCCTTTAGCGGTCAGTGGTGCAGGGCGAATTGTGGTCATGAACTCCTGACCCCTGGGGTGGTTAGCACTCACCTGGAAAAGAACACACACTCTTGGCCATGACGCAGAGGGAGTGTGTTGTGGTCACTCCCACTTTGACCTTTTTCTCCCTGTACTGTGAGTATGACACACATGCATTAATGTGTCTCTGTGTGCTCTCAGATGTGCCTTAGCTCTTAGCAGGAATGCTGTCTGATCATCCAGTGTGACATGCAACTGTCAGAAATAACCTGCTGCACTGCTGAAGAAAAGCAGTCAATCACTTTATTGCTTACTGCATTGCTTTGTTTTTTCATGACGCAGCTATTTATGAAGCTAGGATACAGTACATATCCGAGTTATAACGATCCGTTCATTATGTGGATTAGGAGCGTTTAGTTGGTTTTCTGTGGTTTGGTGTCTGATAGAGCATGCAGAGTCTTGTAAGGGCAAAAGAGATAAAGGATTCTTTCAGGGGAAATTGTGCTTTTACTATTGAGCTACATACTAAGGAGGCCTCAGAGAGTGTGTTTTAGATAAATTATTCATCTGTTTGTTGATTTATTTTTCATCACTTGTAGCTCAGAGGGCATGCTTTTGATCTGAGCGATGTGTTGGGGGTGGGGTTGGGCACATTCTTTCAGGCCAGTCGATGAGAAAAAGAGCTGGTGTCCTGAATTCATACATATACACATCTGCAGTTCTGATGAGCTGATAAGAGGGAAGGAAGAATGAAGGTATAATTTTTTAATAGATATCAATGCTGACACTTGTCAAACACACAAAATGTGCATAAATAGTCACACAAGGGCTGCATAATATGTTGTTTGTTAATCACTATTGTGATATTGGCCCTTGCATGCTAATCACAGAAGTATGCCTTTTAACCAATCCCTCTGTTTTTTGTTGTGTATTGTGGGCATCTTGACCAATCACAGCTCAAGGTAAATGCTTCTCTATGTGTTCTGATGAATTAAGGTATTTGTGTAATCCAACAAAAATAACATATTTTGGTCAAAAATACTGCAGGCCAATCATTAGCCCCATAAATGTCCAAGATATCCATTCCTCACTCCTGTAACCTAAATACACTCTCCAGCCAAAATGAAAATTCCGGAACTGATCTGTTTTATGGGTCTGTGCCAAAAGAGATCAAAAACCCAGATTAGCAAAGAACAGCATTACATCCGGCTCTGAACTGGCCCAGATGAGTAAAGAACAGCATTACATCTGGACCTGAACCAGCCCGGATGAGTAAAGAACGGCATTACATCTGGCCTTGAACCGGCCCAGATAAAACAACAGCATAAAGAACAGCATTACATCTGGTCTTGAAGTCTAAATATTATCTTTATATCTGGCCCAATACAGAAGAGGTTCCAGCTCAATTTAATACAAGCTAGCTGACTCTGGAACGGATCCAGTGCGGATAGGTCAGGGCTGAATCCAGTCCAGAATCAGCTACAGTAACTACAGCTAAAGTATTTGGACACCTACACATTACACCTACAGGAGCTTTTATGACATCCCATTCTAACTCCATAAGGCATTATGGGGCTGGTCTCCCCTTTGAACTATAACAGCTTCTACTCTTCCGGGAAGCTTTCTACAAGATTTTGGAGTGTGTCTTTGGGAATCTGTGCCCTTTCATTTATTCAGAAGAGCATTTGTGAGGTTCTCCATTCTTGTTCATCCTCTAGTTGTTCGATGGAGTTGAGATCAGGGCTCTGTGCGGGCCTGTCAAGTTCTTCCACACCAGACTCACCCAGCCTTGCCTTTATAGACCTTGCTTTATACACTGGGGCACAGTCATGCTGGAACAGAAAAGGGCCTTCCCCAAACTGTTTTCACTAAGTTGGAAGCATAGAATTGTTCATGCTGAAGCATTAAGATTTCCCTTCACTTGAACTAAGGGGCCTAGGCCAACCCTTGAAAAACATAGCATTATCCCTCCTCCACCAAACTTCACACTC